GCAATTTATCATTGTCTCTCATGCTTGTCAGATTCTTAATTCACTTCTACATCAAAATAGATCTGATGTAATTAAAACACATGATCGACAAGCCATCTTAAAGATGTATTTGCTAAATATAAGAAATATTAAGCAGAACCATTAAAGGCAATTTCTCTGATTTCTTTTAATATTACCGTGATTGGGTTGGCAATCCATTACCAAATGATAAATGCAACGTACAGAATTAAATACTTTCATTAACAGAATGAGTTTGAGGATTGTAATATTCATTTACAAATTCATAAGAGAAATGCCAAAAATGCATCACGTATGAATAATTTTGATCAAGTTACTGATGAACTAATATAAAAAATTTGATATGCAAATGCCAAATTCTTCTACTGATTAAACAATAAATTTCAAGAAGCTTAGTTGAGAGAGCTCTGATTCTATTGTCATGATAGTAAACAAATTTATCCAAACACTTATTTTGATGAGTTTTTGAAATTACTGAACTGCAGACCATGATTGAATCATTTTGTCCTTTTATTTTGAGAAGTCATGGGAACACTTAATGTATAATGGCTGGCAAGTTTGTTCCAGAAAACAAAAGCTACAGGTCCTTAACGACAAATTGCTAACAAATTTGGTACTAATTCAATTTCTCTGCAAATTTATTAAAGCAAAGTCATGAAAAAATTCCTTTTCCAGAAATTTACAATTCCTACCTAATTCTTGTCTTGAACTATGGCATGAAACTTTCCTACTACTCTCTCAGTTGCAGACACTATATTTGTTGTTTACTCCCTTGTTCATATGGACTATCTTTTGGGAAGGGATATAAGGTCAATGTTCACAAGAAAACATTTCTAAAACATACTTGGTAAACGCCATATGTCAAAGGACCAATACTTGAATTGCTGTTTTTAATCTTGACATTTACCATGATCTTTGATGAAAAATATTGGATTTAAATAGCCTGTGCTGCTCATCTTAATATATGTGCATCTTCATCAATGACCACTCTCACACATTGTGGACCAGAATTAAATTCATGACTAAAATCTCTGTTTTGTCGATCATGTATTGCTGATCCTTTTTCTTTATACAGTTTATCTATATCAATTATAGTTTTTGCACAAACATTGGTAAAAATTGTCAATAAAAGGCAATAAGGCCACACCTAAAAATATTTTGGTTTGCCCAAACCCTACCCAAAGGTAGAGACAGTGGGTAGGTAGGTAGGCATTTTCTTCTTTTTTTCGGTAAAGAGAAATTGGAGTGTCAGATTTTGTTTAGTCTTCATGCCTATCTGATTAAAATAAAAACTTTTTCACATCAAGACAATAAAAGATTTTGAGTAGGCATATATTTTGTGGGTAGGTAGGGTTAGGGCAAACAAACATATTCTTTTTTATGGCCTAACTCCTACAAGAAATCAACTGACTAAATAGAAGATCTTGTCTTGCTGGTCATTTTTTCTAGTTAAATTTTTTCTCTATCTATTATAGATAACATAATACTGTAAATTCAGAAACTATTGCTTGCATTTATTATTGTGATTTTTCCAGAATGGACAAAAATGAGAGATTAATTATTGCAATTTGTGGAACAAAGCTGCATACAGATATATCTGTCAGATATCATAATGCGAATTCTTATTATTGCGATACCCACCCTGTCGCATTATTCGCAATAATAAAAACCTCACAATAATTTCTGAATTTACACTAACCTGGATTTATTTATTTTCTTGAAAACAAATTTTCGTAGATTGAGGAAAAGTTGTATTTTTGTGGATTCACCAAAGTCTGTATAGAAGCCTTTAGAAAATGGGTATTTCGTTGAACATTTAAATTTGTGTTTTACCTTTACATTTGTGTACCAATAAAACCAAGGAAATTTGGTATCCCACTAATAATAAACTTGTAATTTTGATAATGCAAATGTTGAAACTAAAATAGCAATACTTTAACATGTAAGTTATGCAAATATTCGAAGTCAATGAACTGAAGGTTCACAAACATTAACTTGAAAACTATGTAAAAGTTTCAAAGTCAATGAACCATGATGAGGGGTGGGGCTATAATAATCTCCATGGAAACGAGACTTGCAAATGCCAATAAATTTGCATACCAAATATCATTGACTTTAAACATTAGTTCATCTTAAACTGATCTAATTTCAAACTAATACATGCAAACTTAGCAAAAGTTTCAAAGTCAATAGACCATGACTGAGGGGGCGGGGCCACACATTCTCCATGGAAATGAGATGTGCTAATGCTTATACAACTGCATACCAATTACCATTGGCTTACACTTATGGTTCCCCTTGAACTGACCTAATCACAAACTAATACATGTAAACTAGGCAAAAGTTTCAAAGTCAATAGACCATGACTGAGGTGGCGGTGTCAAATAATCTCCATTGAAATGAGATGTGCAAATGCTAATACAACTGTATACCAAATATCATTGACCTACCACTAGTGGTTCAGCATAAACTAGACCTAATCACAAACTAATACATTGTTGATGCCGCCGCCAGAAACAGTATACCTATGTCTCGCTTTTTGACTCCGTCAAGGCAAGACAAAAATGAATCCACAGTGATAATTAAAAATACAATAAAATGCTTCGCCGAGTGCAGCCTGATACGACCGCAGAGGTCGAACCCTGAACAGTTGATATTGTCTGAATTTGGATTGTGATCAAATTTTTGACATAATATAGGTTTCTGACACAAAATAAATGTGGTCAAAGATCTTAAAAATTTGAAATGGGACATTTAGTTAACCTAGTATGGTCTGATATCCAAAATCTAACAACATGGTTAGATTCAGCATATAAAAAAAACACCAAAAATTTAATTTTAGTTGAAATCAAACAAAGTTTAATTTTGGACCCTTCAAACCTTAATATGGACTAATTTGAAAACAGGGCCAAAAATAAAAAATCTAAATGCACAATAAGATTTCATATCATAGAGCTGCAATAATTCAGTTTTTGATGAAATCAAACAAAGTTTAATTTTGGATCCTTTGGACTTCAATGTAGTCCAATTGAAAAAATTGGGCCCAATATCCAACATCATAATACAAGGTAAGAACCCACAAAAATTAAATTAAAGACTTAATTTAATCTCATTGAAATTGGTTAAAAGATTTGTATTTATTTTCAATTGAAGATTTCTTGCTATTGCGCAATACTCTGCTGTTGCACAATGTTATATATAATAATTTACACACCCTGTTTGGTGTGTATCTCCTGCCATATCAGTAATTGTTGCTTTTATATATAAATCAGAAATAATCAATGTAAAAATGGAAAATTTTGGGGGGAAAAAAAACCCCAAAAATTATGAAAAAAAAAATTCCCTCCAAAAAGAAGTACAATTTCAGAGAGATCTATACACTTAAACACAAGTTATTGTCTGGAAACTAGAAAAATGCTTGTTTTTTGTTTTTGCCCCTAATTCCTGAACATTTGGGGCAATTACCCCCAATCTCAATCCCAGCTTTTCCTTTGTGATATGGAACCTTGTGGTACAATTTCAGAGAGATCCATACACTTACACACAAGTTATTGTCTGGAAACTACAAAAATGCTTGTTTTTGGCCCCTAATTCCTAAACTGTTGGTACCATAACCCCCAAAATCAATCCCAACCTTCCTTTTGTGGTATTGAACCTTCGGGTAAAATTTCATAGAGATCCATTCACTTAAACTAAAGTTATTGCCCGGAAACCAAACAGACGACGACGACATGATAGCATTATACGAACGCAAATTTTTTGCAGTCAAAAAAAAAAAAGATTAATATGGTCATTTAATGGCAAAAACTATATGGAGTTATCTGAAATTTTTTGACAAAATTGACGGTAGGTAGACCTTCTAAACATTTCTGCCAATGTTACATTTTCTCTATCTGTAACAGTTTTCAAGACAATAGACAAATCACACATTTTACCCCTATGTTCTATTTTAAACCATGTTGGTCAGCAAACAGGATCAAAGTACACATTTTCTAAACTAGATACCCAATGATAAATGTGAACAAGTTTGCTTCCAATTGGCCCAGTAGTTTCTGAGGAGAAGACTCAAGATTTTTGTAAAGTTAAGGGATGATGGTGGATGACAGAGGGTCGTAATGGGGGTACCTTCATGACGAATAAAGGTAATTTTTGGTGCATGACAATAAAATGCACACTTTCTTTTAGACGATAAAAACTTGACTGATTTTGATGAATCACGTTAAATTTTTTCCTAAAAATAACTATAACGATAATTATTTGAGACCTCTGACGAAACACAATAAGGATATTTTGATGAATCATGGTAAAATTTTAAACAATTTGATGCTAACGGTAGCCGAAAATGGCCGTTTGACGCCTGACAGTAAAGGGCATCCCTACCCTCATGACAGACAACTAATACCAAGTGATGACAATAACTTACACTGGTCTTTTGGGTAAAAATTATTCCGTAAAGTTAGACAGCTTTTATCTTTAATGCAGTCATTAGGGACTTTATTTTTGGTGCTATTTTTAGCTATCCTCACCACATTCTATCCTCTGGATTTTTTTTTTATCATGTAACCAATTAGCTATCAGGTAAATCCAGGAAAACTCTTTCTTATACACACTTATTTCCCTAAGTAATTTAAAGCAGACTAGATTCCAGTACCAATGAGTAATGCAAGAGGTTCAAATATGAGTATCAAATAGGTTTGAAACAGAGAGTATAATGACCTCAGGAGCTCCCTCATTTTCCAAATCATATACCACCCTTGTAGTTATTTATTTGCCTCATATGTGCCAATAAAATGCTCCGCAGGGCGCAGCTTGATACGACCGCAGAGTTCGAACCCTGAACAGTTGGGGCAAGTATGGACACAACATTCAAGCTTGATACAGCTCTGAATTTGGATTGTGATTAAATATTTGACACAGCATAGGTTTCTGACACAGAATGAATGTGGTCTAAGAACTAAAAAAATTTTAAATTGGACATTCACCTATTATGGTCCAATATCCAAAATCTAAATACATGGTTAGATTCAGCATATCAAAGAACCCTAAGAATTCAATTTTTGATGAAATCAAACAAAGTTTAATTTTGGACCCTTTTGACCTCAATGTAGACAAAGTTGATAACGGGGCCCAAAAATCAAAAATCTAAATACATGGTTAGATTCAGCATATCAAAGAACCCCATATATTCAATTTTTGTTGAAATCAAACAAAGTTTAATTTTGGACCCCGATTTGGACCAACTTGAAAACTGGGCCCATAATCAAAAATCTAAATACATGTTTAGATTCAGCATATCAAAGAACCCTAAAAATTAAATTTTTGTTAAAATCAAACTAAGTTTAATTTTGGACCCTTTGGACCTTAATGTAGACCAATTTGAAAACGAAACCAAAAATTAAGAATCTAAATACACGGTTAGATTCGGCATATCAAAGAACCCCAATAATTCAATTTTTGATGAAATCAAACAAAGTTAAATTTTGGACCCTTTGGACCTCAATGTGGACCAATTTAAAAACGGGGCCCAAAATCCAAAAACTTAGTACACGGTTAGATTCAGCATATTAAAGAACTCCAAGAATTCAAGAATAAAACCCCATTGAAATTGATCAAGAAATAAGCAATTTATACGTAGTATCTTCTTTTGCACAATACTGTGCAATTGAATATTTCTTGCTATTGCACAATACTGTACAATTGACAATTTCTTGCTATTGGATATTTCTTGCTATTGCGCAATACTGTGCAATTGAAGATTTCTTGTTATTGCGCAATACTGTGCAATTGAAGATTTCTTGCTATTGTGCAATACTGTGCAATTGAAAATTTCTTGCTATTGCACAATAATTATTATATAATAATTTACACATCCTGTTTGGTGTGTATCTCCTACCATATCATTATTATTTGCTTTTAAATATAAATCAGAAATAACCAACTTAAAATGGAAATAAAATGCTTCGCTGAGGCGCAGCTTGATACGACCGCAGAGGTCGAATCCTGAACAGTTGGGGCAAATATGGACACAACATTCAAGCTTGATACAGCTCTGAATTTGGATTGTTATTAAATATTTGACACAGCATAGGTTTCTGACACAGAAAGAATGTGGTCTAAGAACTTGAATTTTTTTAATTTACCTATTATGGTCCAATGTCCAAAATCAAAATACATGGTTAGATTCAGCATATCAAAGAACCCCATATATTCAATTTTTGTTGAAATCAAACAAAGTTTAATTTTGGACCCCAACTTGGACCAACTTGAAAACTGGGCCCATAATCAAAAATCTAAACACATGTTTAGATTCAGCATATCAAAGAACCCCAAGAATTCAATTTTTGCTAAAATCAAACTAAGTTTAATTTTGGACCCTTTGGACCTTTATGTAGACCAATTTAAAAAACGGGACTTAAAATTAAAAATCTAAATACACGGTTAGATTTGGAATATCAAAGAACCCCAATAATTCAATTTTTGATGAAATCAAACAAAGTTTAATTTTGGACCCTTTTGACCTCAATATGAACCAATTTGAAAGCGGGGCCTACAAATAGAAAATCTAAATACATGGTTAGATTTAGCATATCAAAGAACCCCATATATTCAATTTTTGTTGAAATCAAACTAAGTTTAATTTTGGACCCCAACTTAGACCAACTTGAAAACTGGGCCCATAATCAAAAATCTAAACACATGTTTAGATTCAGCATATCAAAGAACCCCAAGAATTCAATTTTTGTTAAAATCAAACTAAGTTTAATTTTGGACCCTTTGGACCTAAATGAAGACCAATTTAAAAAACGGGACCCAAAACTAAAAATCTAAAAACACGGTTAGATTTGGCATATCAAAGAACCCCAATAATTCAATTTTTGATGAAATCAAACAAAGTATAATTTTGGACCCTTTTGACCTCAATATGAACCAATTTGAAAGCAGGGCCTACAAATAGAAAATCTAAATACATGGTTAGATTTAGCATATCAAAGAACCTCATATATTCAATTTTTGTTGAAATCAAACAAAGTTTAATTTTGGACCCCAATTTGGACCAACTTGAAAACTGGGCCCATAATCAAAAATCTAAATACATGTTTAGATTCAGCATATCAAAGAACCCCATATATTCAATTTTTGTTGAAATCAAACAAAGTTTAAATACTGGACCCTATCTTGGACCAACTTGAAAACTGGGCCCATAATCAAAAATCTAAACACATGTTTAGATTCAGCATATCAAAGAACCCCAAGAATTCAATTTTTGTTAAAATCAAACTAAGTTTCATTTTGGACCCTTTGGACCTTAATGTAGACCAATTTAAAAAACAGGACCCAAAATTAAAAATCTAAATACACGGTTAGATTTGGAATATCAAAGAACCCCAATAATTCAATTTTTGATGAAATATCAAACAAAGTTTAATTTTGGACCCTTTTGACCTCAATATGAACCAATTTGATAACGGGGTCCACAAATAAAAAATCTAAATACATGGTTAGATTCAGCATATCAAAGAACCCCATATATTCAATTTTTGTTGAAATCAAACAAAGTTTAATTTTGGACCCCGATTTGGACCAACTTGAAAACTGGGCCCATAATCAAAAATCTAAAGGTGTAATACCACCATTGATTTTCCCCTATTAGTCTTTGTTAAATTTGCACTTTTCAAAAAATTGTGCAGAATTTATCTTTGTTTCAAATAAAGAAATACTTGGCATGAGTAAAGTTTGATCCTGTCCAGTACTATAGAAAAAATTTCACATAACATTTCATTGCATATAAGAAAATAACCATCACTGGAAGTTAACCAATCAAATCTTCCCCCTTTTTTAACCTGTGTACAAGCTTTAGTAACCATGTAACCTCAAGTTTCCAAAATATTCTATAGAAACCCCAAATAAAAAAATAATGGTGCTTTGAAATACCCAAGATATATGTTTATGACCCAGAAATGTTTTACTGCAATGAAATGTAGGATCAATTACCTACAACTGTCAAATTCAAGGGAATATTTTTTTTTGACCTATTTTCGTATGCAACCGGATGTGACGTACTATGATTTGGTGGTATTACACCTAAAGAAGACTTTTTTGTTAAATAAATTGAATGGGACTTTTTTCCTTTGTAATACTGGTTATTTCTAGCATTCCTGTCAAGTTTTGTCATAATCAGTTCAATAGTTTGAGAAAAATCTAGTATAATGTAAGACGACATCTACAGCGATTCGAGCTAAATTTCTTCGAAAAATCCAAACCAAGCCGCATCATGATAGAATATAGTGTGGACCAATAAATGATCAAATATTTATCTCATCTGCCTACAAACAGTTGAAAATGATACAAAAGATGACTTCAGGATGATAAATACTACTAATGGACCTCTTTGTCTTCCTTATAAGGTCTCTTTTGGTCCATTTATACCTCTCATTTCCTCAGAATTTCTACTTTATAGGCCAATAAATAAAAATTTTGGGGTAACTTACACTCATTTATGATAGAAATGTTATAATAAATGATTAAATGAAGTTTTCAAGCTGAATGAACTATCTGTATAAAAGTTTACTGTCTCCAAGGAGGTTTCAATAAGTCCTTACGTAAAACTTAAATTTACGCCGCGTTCCAGAGAGGGACATAAAAAGCTTCTCTTTTGGTGAATAATTTGTTGTTACTGCTTTAAAAATAATTTCATTTACTTAAAACTATATATTTATTAAAGTATTTCTTAGGAAAAATTTTCTAGTATAGCAGAATATAAGAAAAAAGGAGAAAAAGCTCCCCAAAACTCTAAGTATGGCTTATTCTGTCAACTAATATTCATGGTAAAGTCCTATTTCAAGGAAATTTTCTCATAAAATGTGTTTTGGAGACTTAATCCACTCAGAATATTTCATTATTAGTAATATTTCACTTAAATAGCAAGAAATTTTAACACATGAGAGTACTCACAAGGTCAAAGGTGCATGTACAGCTTCCCATATTAGGTGCAATACCACCATTGATTTTCCCCTATTAGTCTTTGTTAAATTTGCACTTTTCAAAAAATTGTGCAGAATTTATCTTTGTTTCAAATAAAGAAATACTTGGCATGAGTAAAGTTTGATCCTGTCCAGTACTATAGAAAAAATTTCACATAACATTTCATTGCATATAAGAAAATAACCATCACTGGAAGTTAACCAATCAAATCTTCCCCCTTTTTTAACCTGTGTACAAGCTTTAGTAACCATGTAACCTCAAGTTTCCAAAATATTCTATAGAAACCCCAAATAAAAAAATAATGGTGCTTTGAAATACCCAAGATATATGTTTATGACCCAGAAATGTTTTACTGCAATGAAATGTAGGATCAATTACCTACAACTGTCAAATTCAAGGGAATATTTTTTTTTGACCTATTTTCGTATGCAACCGGATGTGACGTACTATGATTTGGTGGTATTACACCTAAATACATGTTTAGATTCAGCATATCAAAGAACCCTAAAAATTCAATTTTTGTTAAAATCAAACAAAGTTTAATTTTGGACCCTTTGGACCTTAATGTAGACCAATTTGAAAACTGGACCCAAAATTAAAAATCTAAATACACTGTTAGATTCGGCATAACAAATAAATAAATGTGATCAAAGATTTTACAAATCTAATGCGCCATACTGTGCAATTAAAGACTTCTTGAAATTTTTCAATATTTGAAATCTGAAAAAAAAATTTTTTTGAAGAATAATTCTTTTTAATTTCTGAAATCTGAAATGAGAAAAAATTGACCCCCCACAATTTCTTTTTATCCCCCCCCCCTTTTTTCCCCCAAAAAATTATTTCCCTCAAGATATGGTCATAATCTCAATTCAAATTTCCAATGGAGTTGGCAACCATAATTACCCATTTAAATTTACCATAGTGCTAACTTAATCTATTTTATAATAGAATTAAAAATATAGTGTCAAATCTTTCATATGGATTTTTTTGTAAAAAAAAAAGATGCAACATTTGCAGATATTTTTACTGGTCTTCCTTTATAAATATGCATTTCTTTAAACATAATTTAAAAGCAGTGTAAGGGAAGTAACCAAAACGTTGTATTTGGATTACCTCCCTTACACTGTTTTAAATTATCTTTATTGTTCATTAACCATTACTTTATACATAATTTAAAAGCAGTGTAAGGGAGATAATTTCAATGATGTATTTGATTTATCTCCCTTACACTGCTTTAAATTATGTTTTGTACTAAAGTATTTGTCCATTAACCAGGACAACCCTGTTTTTCCCCCTTTTTTGCCCCTAATTCCTAAACGGTTTGAGCCATAACCCCCCAAAGCAAATCCTAACCATCCCTTTGTGGAATGGAAACTTGTAGTATAATTTCAGAGAGATCCATACACCGTTCCACAGTTATTGTCTGGAAACTAGAAAATGCTTATTTTTGGCCCCTTTTTGGCCCCTAATTCCTTAACTGTTGGTACCATAACCCCCAAAATCAATCCCAACCTTCCTTTTGTGGTATTTAACCTTATGGTCAAATTTCAAAAAGATCCATTCACTTAAACTAAAGTTAGAGTGCGAAAACCAATGTGTCTTCAGACGACGCCGCCGGACGACGCCAACGTCATACCAATATACGACCACAAAATTTTTTGGCGGTCGTATAAAAAATGGAAAATTTTAAAAGAAAAAAAAAAATGAAAAAAAGAAAAAAAAAAAATCCCCCCCCCCCAAATTTTTTGAACCCCTTATGATTCATCACCCCCAAACTCATTCCCAGCCTTCCCTTTATGGTATGGTACCTTGCAGTACAATTTCAGAGAGATCCAGTTATTGTCTGGAAACTAAAAAAATGCTTATTTTTGGCCCCCAATTCCTAAACGTTTCGGGCAATTACCCCCAAACTCAATTCCAGCTTTCCCTTTGTGATATGGAACCTTGTAGTACAATTTCAGAAATATCCAAACACTTACACACAAGTTATTGTCATGAAACTAGAAAAATGCTTGTTTTTTGCCCCTTTTTTGGCCCCTAATTACTAAAATTTTGAGGCAATTACCCCCAAAATCAATTACAGCCTTCCTTTTGTGATATGGAACCTTGTGGTACAATGTCAGAGAGATTCATACACTTACACACAAGTTATTGTCTGGAAGTTACAAAAATGCTTATTTTGGCCCCTTTTTGGCCCCTAATTCCTTAACTGTTGGTACCATAACCCCCAAAATCAATCCCAACCTTCCTTTCGTGGTATTGAACCTTATGGTAAAATTTCATGGAGATCTCTTCACTTAAACTAAAGTTAGAGTGCGAAAACCAATGTGTCTTCGGACGACATCAGACGACGACGAGGCCAACGTCATACCAATATACGACGAAAATTTTTTTAATTTTTGCGGTCGTATAAAAACTAACAGAATTATGGAAAAGAGGATGTTTTTTTCAAATTCAAAAACTGAACATACACTGGTATAAAGAAAAAAAACTTTTCAAATATATCTGAAACTAAAAAGAAAGCAAATTTAAGTTATCTTTTGAACATAAAAACTATCAAAAGAAAATCAGACAGTTTAACCTAAGAACTGGTTTCTTTTTAAAATAGAATGAAGCATACCTAATTTTTTGGCTACTTCATCAATGATGTTGAGAGCATCTGTAATTCTGGACTCATCACTAACCACAACTTCAATTTCACCAACTTCAAATCCAAAATCAGCTATGTCTAGTTCTACAGTACAGTTGGGTAGATAGTATGTCTGCCTGATTGTTGTAAATGTAGCAAAAATATCTAGACTTAGTTCATTCATCAACTGGTCCAATGTTATATCCTCAACAGACTTGCTATAATTATATAACTTACATAAGTGCTTCATTATTTCTGTTTCTGATGTAATTTCTAAAAGTTGGGGTGAAGAATCTTTCTTACTCATATGACGTGGAGGAATCTTGAATTCCCATCTACCATTTCTTTGTCTTAGCCAACTGTCTGAAAGGGTCATTTTATACCTAATATCATCAAAATATTTATCAGAAAATTTATTCTCTTTTGCCATCACGGCACCCATGTCCATTAACTTCTGTCTGCAGTCACTAAATATTCTAAACTTTCTCTCTACTTCTATTTGTTTCATCTGTGGCATTGAATCCTTTTTATTTGATACTTTAGTGTCTTGTAAACTTTCAAACTGTTTAGAATGATCTTGAGCATTTGTTGCAATGGATGGAGATAAATTTAACTGTTCTGTCTGTTGTCTGGTAATTTTCTCATCAGTTAAATGTTCTTGGGACTGTGATTCACAAATTTCCCCTATATTTGTTTGAACGTCCTGACTTAAAACTTGACTTGGACATATTTGAACCTCCTTACTTAAAACTTGACTTGGACATATTTGAACTGATTTTCCAAATTCTACAGTATGAATTCTATTGTCTTTTGCTTGGAAAGTTTTATCTTCTGTAGCAATATTTTCAAGGTCTGAGTTTTTCATGTTCAAATTTTTACTTTCAGCAGATACTTGTGTTTTATATGCATGTTTTTCCACTGAACTGGCTCGCTGTTCTTGTTTCACCATTTGAAGTGAATCTTCCTGGCTCATGTTACTTAATACATTTTCTAGCTGGGACAATTTATCTGATGTGTAAGTTTTATTTTCTTCTGAATCATTTAATCTTGTATCTTCTTCTTCTGCAAAATTCTTTTTATCTAACTTTCTTCCTCCAGGAAGAACAGTTGTAGATGATGGACATGTCTGTCTTGTCCCTTTATACTGGTCTTTGAAATCAACTGTGGCCATAACTTCATTTTTGCCATTATCTATTGTATCTTGATCGAACTCTGACCCAAGATGTATGATGACATTTTCATCATCATCTTCTTCAAGTAGATAATTTTCTAACTCTCCTGATTCCTGTCTAATTGAAGCCCATCCTGCCTTTGCAATTGCTGACCGTGAGTCTTCAGTTGCCAGTGCAGCATTCCGTAAAGAACTATCATCGTCTGCCAGCTGTAGGGGATATTCTTCATGATTTTTTGGTTCTAATGGTTTACCAATGGCTTCAACTCCCATTTGATACAACATTGACACTTGTTTTTCCTTGACTTTGACAGGACTGGTATTCACATCTCTTTTTTCAGTTGATTTTTTGGAATTCTTAGTATTGAACAAAAAGAAAGAAGTTGCACTAGTAATTTCATAACTTCCTACTCCTTTGCTCTTTTTAGAATCAAACATATCCTTGCTTTCATCATCAATCTTGTCATTTTTTATTGTCCTTGCAACAGAACTTGTAAGAATTTCTTTCAAACATTTCAGATGGTCATCAGCAATGATTTTTGTTTCACAATGGTCAATCCACGACTCATCTTTTAGTTCATTGTCATCACAGGCCCTGTGGCCATTTTCTAATGGTCCGTCAACTGAGGAACCTTCATCATTATCCATAGACAGGGAGAACATTTTATCTGAATTTGGTGTGATAACTTCTGCTTTTGGACTCTCTATTTTTGTTTCCACTCTATCAATATAATCTTCTCCCTTTACATCTAATGACAGCTCTGTACCTTTTGCTGCCATTGCAAAACCTGAAAGATCTGAAAGATAGAACAAATACATGTGTTCTAGTTACCAATTCATTAAACTAGAGGCTGCAAAGATCCATGATCAATCATGTTGAATCTGAATAAAATACTTGCTCTGAGTGAGGTATGTAACAGTATATCCTAAATGGTCCTTTGAATCTACAGCTTTTACTTCTATAAAATAAACATGAAGAGCCATTATCTGATTAATGTAAATGTCTATCCATAATGCAGACTTGTCACTATAAAAATAAGAAGATGTGGTATGATTGAGAATGAGAAAACTCTCCACAAGAGACCAAATGACACAGAAATTAACAATTATAGGTCACCGAACGGCCTTCAACAATGACTAAAACCCATACCACATACCCTGGTACTCAGTTATACAAGGCCCCGAAAAGACAAATGTAAAACAATTCAAACGAGAAAACTAACAGCCTGATTTATGTACAAAACAATGAACGATAAACAAATATGATATACAGCAACAAATGACAACCACTGAATTACAGGATCAAGTTTACCTTTTGTAAAGGAGCTACTTAATCATCAAAGTCCAAAGTGAGGTATCTTGACCTTATTTTAGTTTGTCCCTTGTTGTACAATTATTTTTTCCCAGATACCTTTGCTGTAACTATTAGAAAAGAGGGAACATAATTTGTATGTACATGAGGCAACAATGTAATGAAACGTTTAGAAACTACCCTCAAACGAAACAAAAGTTTTATTGTTGTTCCTCATCTTAGCAGTTTCTGACATGATAACATCTTACAAGATGGAGTTTAAACAATTTTATGACGAGACAATACTCATTGATATTCAAAATTAATGCTGCACATGTTTTTAGAGGTAGATATATATCAATGATCAATGAATCAAACCAACCAACTGAAAGTCCTACAAATACTGTCATTTTTGGCCAGACAAAACACATCAATATATACATACAGAATTTCTCAAGGCAGAAACTCACTAGTTGTTAAAAGAGGTCTGATGAAGACTTAACACTAGACATAAGATCTACAGTGATTGTAGGGGTTAATGCAGGGACGTACATGTATAATCAAAAGGATCACAATTACATATTCAACTGAAAATGAAGAAAAAACAAGAAAAGTGTCCATAGGACACCATGCCCTGCTTGAAGCATCACATTATCATGTTTAGTGAACTGCAAAATTTAGGTCAAAACCCTAATTTGGCATATATATTAATGGACACCATGCTCCACTCACACTATCACTTTTCCATGTTCAGTGCAGAGGCGGATTTAGAGGGTTTTCCAGGGGGCCCGGGCCCCCCTTTTGTGGGAAAAATTTGGTTGATTATTTAGGGAATCACTGAAGGATGACTGGAGCGGGCCCCCTCTTAGGTAGTCAGTGGGCACCCCCCTTATGAAAATTTCTGGATCCGCCACTGCAGTGAACCATGCAATCTGGGTAAAATCCTAATTTGGCATATGTTTAAGAAGTTCAGATCATAATTAATGTGTATATATGACAACTGCCCTAAACAAAGATTCTAAGCTGATACAGGTGGTATGTTGAACAGATATATCATGTTAAGGAGGGGTATTTGCGAAAAATACCAGTCGAGAGAATGTTAAATTTCGTGAGCCGTAAGGCGAGGGAAATTCATTCTCAAGACTAGTATTTTTCGCAAATACCCCTCAAGAACATGCTATATCTGTTTAATTACACAGAATGTTAACATTCAAAAATGCATTGATGATCGTGACGTTACAAGCGTCCAGTCGGATAGAGTATTTTTTGGCAAATACCATGGCAGAGAGGGTAAAAAAGGCATATCCTTTTTGCATATACCCCGGCGGCGTTAAAAAATGAACGATATTCATTTGATAACAGTAAATTGGTGAAAAATACACTGGCTATCAACCAATCAAAACCCAGGATTCTTACATAAGGTGTAATTAAACACATTATCATAGGCAGGACATAAAAAGACACTAGTATAATTGCAATCTGTCCATTGCATACTCTATTGTATCTGACTACTGAAAGAAAGAAACCTTTCAACACTAAAAATTTTGTCTATTTTTGCTTGCAGTAAAACTATTGAATCACATAAGTAAGACATTATTGGCTTTCTACCTTTTTAAATACCAGTAAAACTTTTTTTTATTTTTCTCCCCAATTGTAGCCTCATCAAAATGATCTTATGACCAAAAAATAATTTTGTAATAATGAATTTAATTACAAATATGTGCTGGTGGGAAACATCATTTTCTAAACAAAAATAACATAATTAAATATGAATAAACTGAAGGCTAATCACATCTGTAAACTTTTTCTCACGAAATCAAATTTCAATAGCTACATTTGTATCGTTATGTCCCACGTGTTTAAAAATAATTAATATGTCTTTACTAAATGATTCTGATGAAAATGAAAGAAAATTGATCTCTGACAACATGTCACACCTTCGACCTTTAATGTGACCTCTAATGACAATTTAGCACAGAATTAAATCTCTAATTAACTGACAAAATTATAATTAAAGTATGTGTGTGGTAATTATTTATTACTTTGTTAATTTTAATTTGACTATTTTAACAAATCTTGTTCTTCATTGAAGTTTGAACTTAAGTTTGAAGGAAGGAAGGTACATACTGTGGATTTATAATTATTCTTGGGATACACAAGTTTGTGGATTTTGTGGGTACAGGTGAAGAACAAATTTAAATGTACAATGAATTACAAATGTTCTATGGCTATGCAGACTTTTGCAAATCCATGAAATAAAACATCCACAAAAATGTAAGTTTTCCTCAATCCACAAAAATTGGTACCGACAAAAAATAAATGAATCCACAGTATTAATTTATGACAAACACACACCTGACAAAACTGAAAGTAAAGGAACAGTGGTATTATTGTTGTTTTTCATTTCAAAGTTACTATCAGGTCTTCAACATAAAACATAAAATGCTCCGCTGGGGCGCAGCTTGATACGACCGCAGAGGTGGAACCCTGAACAGTTGGGGCAAGTATGGACACAACATTCAAGCTTGATACAGCACTGAATTTGGATTGTAATTAAATATTTGACACAGTATAGGTTTCTGACACAGAATGAATGTGGTCTAAGAACTTAAAAAAATTTTAATTTACCTATTCAAACCATATCATTATTATTTGCTTTTATATATAAATCAGAAATAACCAATTTAAAACGGAAAATTTTAAAGAAAAAAAAGGAAAAAAAAATCCCCCCCCCAAATTTTTTGACCTCCCTTATGATTCATCACCCCAAAACTCAATCCCAGCCTTCCCTTTGTGGTATGGTACCTTGCAGTACAATTTCAGAGAGATCCATACACTTGAACACAAGTTATTGTCTGGAAACTAGAAAAATGCTTGTTTGTTGGCCCCTTTTTGGCCCCAAATTTCTAAACGATTAGGGCAATTACCCCCAAACTCAAACCCAGCTTTTCCTTTGAGATATGGAACCTTGTAGTACAATTTCATAAAGACCCATACACTTACACACAAGTTATTGTCCTGAAACTAGAAAAAAATCTTGTTTTTTTGCCCCTTTATGGCCCCTAATTCCTAAAATTTTGAGGGAATTACCCCTTAAATCAATCCCAGCCTTCCCTTTGTGCTATGGTACCTTGCAGTACAATTTCAGAGAGATCCATACACTTGAACACAAGTAATTGTCTGGAAACTAGAAAAATGCTTATTTTTGGCCCCTTTTTGGCCTCTTATTCCTAAACGTTTTGGGCAATTACCCCCAAACTCATTTCCAGCTTTCCCTTTGTGATATGGAACCTTGTAGTACAATTTCATGAAGATCCATACACTTACACACAAGTTATTGTCATGAAACTAGAAAAATGCTTGTCTTTTTGTCCCTTTTTGGGCCCCTAATTCCTAAAATTTTGAAGCAATTACCCCCAAAATCAATCCCACCATTTCTTTGGTGATATGGAACCTTGTGGTACAATGTCAGAGAGATGCATACACTTACACACAAGTTATTGTCATGAAACTAGAAAAATGTTTGTTTTTTGCCCCTTTTTGGCCCCTAATTCGTAAAATTTGGAGGCAATTACCCCCAAAATCAATCCCAGCATTCCCTTTGTGATAAGGAACCTTGTGGTACAATGTCAGAGAGATCCATACACTAACACACAAGTTATGTCTGGAAGTTACAAAAATGCTTATTTTTGGCCCCTAATTCCTTAACTGTTGGAACCATAACCCCCAAAATCAATCCCCACCTTCCTTTTATGGTATTGAACCTTATGGTAAAATTTCATAGAGATCCATTCACTTAAACTAAAGTTAGAGTGCGAAAACCAATGTGTCTTCGGACGACGACGACGACGCCAACGTCATACCAATATACGACCACAAAATTTTTTTGCGGTCATATAAAAACCTCACATCTCATTTTTACACCTCAATAAAACTACAAAATGAAGTATTCAATTCTAAAGTAAAAATTTGGTGAAACATCATAAGGAAGAAAAGGTAAACAACTCATACACAAATCTGTCTCCTTCAAACAAAAACTATAATGAATTCATCTGAACTTATAACTAGTACACACTTTTGTTTAGGGGCCAGCTGAAGCCTGCCTCTGGGTGCGGGATTTTCTCGCTGTGTTGAAGACCCATTGATGGCCTTCGGCTGTTTTCTGCTCTTCGGTCAGGTTGTTCTCTCTTTGACATATTCCCCATTTCCATTCTCAATTTTATATCATACCTTGTTAATATGAATGCTTATTTGGGTTAATTTATCTAGCCATATATTGGTCATCTTTTATTTTGAAACAAAAGTCATACAGCGATTATATTTTCACAGCAACCAAGAAAGAATTTCCTTCTTTAAAAACAGTATACATAAACAAAGGTATCATACATCAAAGTAGTGAATTTGTTAAAGAACATTCAAATTCATTTCTTTTACACTTCAAGTAAATAATAAGATTTGAAGACTCCCTATTGTGAACATTAAGCAACTATGGTCTGATAGATGTGATAAAATTAGAAAGTCTAAATGAATATCCAGCTGTTTCGAAATTAAATATCTCAATACAATTTATAATGAGATTTTGAATAATTTTTCTTTTTAAGTTGCTATGAACTGTATAATAGTGTTGAAAATATTCACATAATTAAAACACATCCTTTTATGCAGGTGTGACAATCAGGGGAAAATCTAAACGAGGGTCCCATAGGGCTCATCTTTTTACAAGTCTTCTTTAATATTAGGTGTGACAATTAAAATAAACCCAAAAGGTTTAAAATACTCCAGAAAAAAGGACAATGGTATACATCAGAAATAAGAAATATCTAAATCAACAAGAAAGATTTTTACAGAAATTTTCCAGACATTTTTATACAATATGTTAAATACAAACATGAATTGCTTACATCCCTTTCATTTTAACTTTGGTGGATAGTTTTCTCATTGGCAATCATATCACATCTTCTTATTTTTATATGGAAATATTTGCCTGTCTCAACTAATGACCCTCAAATTCAGTTATCATTGGTTGCTGTCTGTTTTATTTGCTTGTTAATTTTTTTTAAGGTAGACCAGGCCTTCAGTTTTTTCTTAAGTTTTGTTTCACAATTTGTCATGTCAAGGCCTATTATAACTTACTAATCCAGCATGGGTTTTGCTCATTGTTGGTAGGCCATACAGTGTCCTATAGTTGATTACATCCTCCTCCTTTGATTACAAATGGATCATTCCACATCTTTTTATTTTCATATATTATATAATATATATATATAATATATATATATATATATATATATACCATTTTCCAAAAGACCAAAAAAGTTTATTTTAACAAACCGCATTTGACTAGCAGGTCGAACAACGGATGTTCTTAAACCCTGCTGACTGCCATGGCGATTGCCAAATAAATGGATCACCAGATGTACCAAAATGGATCTTAATTATAAATTTAATACCAAACAGAAAACAAATGACCACATTACAGCCAAATGAAGACAACCTTATTAAGTTGGAATACAGCAACTTTCTTACCTATTCTTTGTTAACTGCTACATGTTCTTTAAACGACATATAACAGAATCAAACAATAAATAACAACTGATGAAAGCTTTCCTACCAAAACTGTTAGCTGTTGCAAAACATTCCAGTGTTCTGGGCAGGATAGTTAGAACTAAATGGGACAATAAACTGCACTAATGGGTTATATGTACCTATTATAATGTAACCTATGACGATTGACAGCCTTGGTCATGGGTTTGATCTGGGCCATGCCAAATCTGAGACATAAAAACTGGTAATTGCTGCTTTTCTGTATAAGAGCAAAGACAGATTCACTCAGTGTCAGAATATGTGCGGGGAATGGTATTATGACTGCATGTTCACTTTTACCTGCACATTAAAATCAAACCTCCCAACTCATTGTTCTCTTAAAAAATGGTCTACCTTCGTCCCTGTAAAATTATGTTGTTATTGCCCATTCTAGACTAATTTTTCCTTTTTTTCCTTTTCTAATTTTTCTCCTAAAACTAAAAATTCAAACTTTTTTCAATATAATATCTGACTGATTTAAAATACTTGACAAAGAATTCTTTGAAAATATATATTTATATGCTGAATATAAGTTGCAATTGATTTTTTTTCTAGAAATTATTTTGATAGTTTTTCTTTGGCATTAGGATATTTGACAGTTTTAAAATGTAAATAAATCAATAAATGATATTCTCATCAAAATATTTCTATGCAATTCATAAAGAACTAAAAAATATCACTATGGCTGTATTTCCCCCACGACAATAAAAATTTAAATTGTTTGCATTAACAATATACGGTTAGTAGCTACCCTATATAAGAATTCACTGGTCAGGTGCTTTTTTTATCGGTAATGTTAATTATATTCATGAAGATAAAATGCTACTCGAGGACAAACACACCTTGATTTTCACCTGAGAATATAATTAAATTCTAATGACAAATACTGAAGATAAAATCTTCACATTATTTTTGACAATCATACCCATTTATGCAGTTATCTACTTTATCTTGAATTTTAAAATGAAAATATTTTATTGTGTTGAATTTAAACAAGGCAAAAGTTTACCTTCATTACAAAATATCAAAATTTATATGCCAGAAATTATTACATAAAATCTGTAGGCTATAATTTACAATCTTTCTTTTAAATGTGAGCCACAGTTTTTCTTTGACTATAAATTTTAAAGAGATCCTATATTTGTTTTTCACTGGCTGTAAACACCATTAAGATTTTGCGACCATAATTATAAAAATTAATAGAACACATACCGTATAATTATATTTCATAAAAATCTGAAAAAATTCGAAGACAACAATTGATGCATTCTTGTATAGAACTTGAGTTCATAAACACAGAACTACTAGTTATTAAAAAGTAATCAATGAATTAATTATTGTGCAACAGAATATGCAAACAATTCACTAAAATGTTATTGTGACTTTTCATTAAAGTTTGAGAACATTTTGGAATGACTTTTAATTTTATTCATGGACCCCTTAAAACAGTAATATCCATGTGAAAATAATCCCATCTTACACAAGATAGAAAGTTTTTAATGACCAACCTATGCTCCTCGAATTACACATTGATGAAGGATTTGCCAAGAAAAATAAGCAAGATGCACCCAAGAGCCTGAATCACTAACCTGTGAAAAAATGCCATCTCGATATTTATTTTCACCTTTGTTTCTTTATTTGCAGATCTTATATTTGTTGTTTTTCTCTATTATAGGTTGCACTTCTGTAAATATAGACAATGCAATTTCCCATAGGAACTCCTTTTACAGCTAAAGCTGTGTCACATTTAATATGAAGTTTCGTAAAAAAATTATATCCTAGAATGGAAAGTTCATATGCACTACTATTTTTTTCAAAGGTCAAAATACAGGGCTGTGCAGCATATTTTCGACATTTATATGCCTTGAACTTCTAAGAGTTTAAACTTATACTTAAATTCTGTGCTACCCCTCCCTTCACTTTGGCTCTTCCTCAGAATTCATTTTAGCCGCTATCCATGTGTATTTATACTGGTGACATTCCCAGGTTATGTATGTCTCTACGAGATGAAACATAGAGATCATATCCCAGGAACAAAACAAAATATCTATGAATATTATATATCTCCCCAAAAAAAATGGTTTGCGAAACAGCTGTATTTACAAAGTGCAACCTATAGCTTTCAAGAAAATATTCAAAATGCACATAAGACTAATAACATTGATGAAAAATGGATCACAGACCTCAGAGTCACAGAAATAATGGTTGGGTTGCACAGAATGTTTCTTAAAGCAATTGAGAGTGCACGGTTTTTTCTGTAACATCATTTGTAAATTTTGCTGAAAAATTTCTAAGAGTTCACAAATCCCTGAAACTTTACAGTAAGATTGAACACGTGTCGAAGTTGTGCACCCATTTTTCTAGACTTGGGAACTTAGTTAATCTTTAGCAAAATTTACAAAATATAGTAAAAGTTTTGTGTAATCAACTTCTCCTAGTTTTCAACAAAGATCCCTGAAACTTAACAGAAAGATTGCACACATGTTGAAGTTGTGTTCCTTGTACAAAAAAATATGTATAGGGTATTATGAGGAGTTTTTTTCTCTTTTTTTCCAGACTTGGTAACTGAGAAATTTGTCAGCAAAATTTTACAAATGAGGCTACAAGTTTTGTGTAATCATTTCTTCCTAGAGTTTTCAACGCAGATCCCTGAAACTCAACAGATAGATTGCACACATATTGAGATTTTTCACATCTATTAGGGAATTGTTCAGAGGGTTTTTTTCCCATTTTTGTGAACAGTTATTATTATATAAAGTTTATTTCATAGAATTGCACAACCCCAGTTTAGTTGTTTCATAACTGAAAATTCTCAGTAGTAGCAACTTACTTATAATTGTTCAACACAACTGGATACAAATTCATGCAATTCTTTCAAATGCTTAGATCTTTTCAGGCACTGAAAAACAAGTTATTTCCCTTTTAGAGATATATTTTATATGAATGAAAGTTATTTCTCTTAGTCTTAAACTAAATAGCTTTGTCAAATTGTGAGAAAACAAATATTGCAGAATTTCTAATATTGTTAATAGAAGTAGAACTATAACTTAACTTGAAATAAATACAATTATCTTATCACAGTTTTTCATTTTTCAGTGCAAAATAGAAATATGAAATCTTGCATCTATATAAATGTTTATGAGTTCTACTGATAAGGCAATTAAAGTAAACAGTGACGCACCTGCCCAAACCTGTTAATAAGCACGTTTTAATTAAGTCTGATCACAAAACTTAATGAAACATATCAGTAACTATCAAATAATACTATAATCAAAGACTTCTGCTTGGTATATCAGAAATGTGTTAATTTTATACAGTCTTTTGAAGTTTGATATTGTAATTAATAGCTTGCTTCAATTTAAGCATGACACTTTGGCATCCTAATTTTGAACAACGATCAAATAATGCAGATTAAATAAATATAAAACAGGTGAAACTTATTGTGTAAAAAGTTCACTTGTTGACACTTTCATTGGAAATCAATAAACATCCTAAATAATTTTATTTCTTTTTTTTTTTAATCTAATGTTTACTCAAGTAAAATTCATAAGGGTTCCATGGAACCCAGTGTCTTGCATGCTTTTGCTGTTAGTCGCAGGCTCAACAAAAATGGGGAAAAAATTATTAAAAATTTTCCTCCATATACTATCTTTTGATTGTAAGAAGCTTCTGTCCAAGTTTGGTAAACATCCAGGATGGTTTATGAATCTAATAAATGTTTTAAAAACTTAAACTGCAGACTGTATGTAATGTTAACTGGAAGAAAAACTTAGTCCATTTATAAGTAATATACGGAAAAACAGGAAATAAATTTTTACAAAATTTCCTTCTAGATACTAGCTTTTGATCATAAACAAGCTTCTGTTCAAGTTTGGTACAAATCCAGGATAGTTTAAGAAAGTTATAAAAATTTTAAAAACTCTAACCACAGAGTGAATGTAATGTTAACTGGCAAAAATACTAAGTCCATTTATAAGTAAAATATGGATAAACAGGATTTTTTTTTTACAAAATTTACTTCTGGATACTATCTTATGATCATAAACAAGCTTCTGTCCAAGTTTGGTAGAAAACCAGGACAGTTTAAGAAAGTTATTAAAATTTCAAAAACTTTAACCACAGAGTGAATATTTGTGGACACCGCCGCCGACGGAATGTAGGATCGCTATGTCTCGCTTTTGCGACAAAAGGTGCAGGCTCGACAAAAATGAATTTAATTAAAGAATATAAACATTTTAATGGAGCCTGAAAAAATATTAAAAACTGTAAAACAACTGTTCTTTTATTATACATTTAATGAATAACAGTATTGTATTTCAAGAGTTGCAACCGTCAAATTCAAATTGACGGTGGCAACTCTTAAAATACAATACTGTTATTCCTATTCTAATGCAATACTGTTAAAATATTCAAAATTAAACATATTAAATAACCTGTAAACATTGACTGTGATTACTCAACATTGTTGTCAATGACTTTGAACATCATCAACCATGGAATTGATGGCAGACATCATTAAAACAAAATTGTCCTTATATGCCAAACTGCAATGAAAATTAACTAGAAAAAACATTTTGCAAAAATGTCGGGAAATCTAGCAATATGTTGGCTCCTAATTCTAAATGCTTTCGTCTGTTCAGGACATTGGTGTTGATATCAGATCTTTGGTAAACTTTGTTAAATTCTATCAATACTTAGTTTAAACCTTGCTCACTTTTTAATGGTGCTTATAAAACGTCAGTTAGTGACCTCTATATGTCAATATTTTTATTTCAAGCTAAGAAATATAGAACTGAAAGTTTTAATTGATGTCCAACTAAAAAATCCTACAAATTGATTTTGGGGGTCAAAACAATCTGTTCACTTTGCAAGAGTGTCATAATGGTCAAGGATAGTTTCCCCTACTGAGGTAAATAATCTATCAATTTCCCATTTTAGAATCTAAGGACTATGATTACTTTCATTGTTTGTTCCCGAAAATGAAAATAACACACATCATAAGCTGAAATTCATTGTTGTTAGCCAATAACAGTTTTGGTGTACACTTTTGAAAATATTAATAAGAATGCACTAGATTCTGTAATAGTCAATTGCCCTTAGGCAAAACAAAATAAACAGCTGCGCCATGAGCACATGATACGCCCGTCGCTTTTTCAAAGAATAAAGTTCAATAACTTCTCAATGTCATACTAGAAATTTATGAAAAACTAAAGGGAGGTTATCTTAATAGATATAAACCAGTCACCAAAGTTTCATGAAAACTGCTCAAAGCACTTTAAAGATATTGTCCGAAAACTGGAAAATCACCCCTTCTTTATGAATAAAACCCCATAACTCGGAAACGTAAAATCAAAAATATATAAAAATAGAAAGGGAGCTTACATCAAAATATATAAACAATTCACCAAAGTTTCATGAAATTTGCCTACAGCATTTTTGAGTTATTGTCCGAAAACTGGAAAATCCCCCTTTTTTTAATGAATAAAACCCCATAACTCGGAAACGTAAAATCTAAAATTTCTAAAAAAAGACGTAAACGGTTGTATAAAAAATGTGTGCTTAGGGTTACCCCTAAAGAAAAGTAAGGACGGTAGGTAGGAATGTTTTTTTTTATTTTGTTAGACTTTCCCCCTTGATTACCATATATGAGGAGACCTGCAATTTTGTGACAATTCACAGCCAAAAGTGCTGATAAAACTTTAGGTTGGCAATTTAGAGGCACACAAAATAGGATAGGGAGGGAAACTAAAAACATCAGCTATAGACTCAGTTTAAGTATTTGTCATGATGGTTTACGAGCATGAGGAATAAAACTGATATTATTTCATCTCTATGAAAAATAAGAGATATACAGAAAACATTATTGTCTTTCTTGGTATTATGATATTTTTTGGTTGCTGTCACATTGTTATTTAACCAACAAAGCCAAACATGGCATCAAAAACTGGACATACCAAGATACAGCTTTCAACACTGAGCTGGTGCCAATATGAAAAGCTCAGTAGAACAGATAACATGAAATTAGTAAAATATTGCAATTTTTAAAATTTTAGACTGTTCATTCAGAAATTTCTGGGTGCATTATTATTGGGATCAATTATTCTCATAATGTTGTTAACAATTAAAATAATGCTATGGAAATTTAAAATGCAACATTAACTATTTCAGGAAATGTTATATTCAAATAATGCCATCAAAATTTACAATGCAAGTTTTAATTTTAAAATTAAGAAATCTTTTCTTTTGCAATTTTCAGGCAATAATAAAAACATCACAAAAAATTCTGAATTCACAGTTATACAAAATAAAAAAGAAACTACATATGTTACAAGGTCTATCAATACATAACATTAACAAAGAAAATATAATCAAAGAACAAATATAATAACATTTTTGTATACTCATTTATTTTTACAAAAGATTTTTTAAACAAAGCATTTTATACAACATGTTTTGTTTCATCACAAAAAGTTAATTTCAGTGGATATGTGGGTCCATTATCCAAATTAATTTGATTAACAGCTTGAAAATATTAAATACAAAATATACAGATGTTACAGACCTTGAATATTGAATGCATTAATTAATAAATGGAAAATTAACAATAAAAATCTTATTCTGCAATCAATTTTATTAAGTTCGTTTAAAAACTTTATGTTTTCTATTAAATAAGAAAATTACACAATATAAAAATCTGCATAGATTTATTCATAAAAAAGGGATAGTTTAATTATTGACTTAATTATAAGTTGGTGAATATTAAACTGCATCAATTTGGTAATAAATGATATTAGTAATTTAAAGCAGCAAGCTATAAAAAAAACAATATATAACTTAACGGTATATAAGTATATTGATTCCCACCCATTGTTTTGTAAAGACTTGTATTCTGTAAAATATAAATAATGTCAGAAAAAAATCTTGTTTTGTTCTTTCAATACCATGTATTGTCTTGACAAATCTTTGAATCAACATAAATAACATCCATTTGTCTGATTTCCTAAGATCTGTTGGAAAAGGATAAAGTGTTTACATGTAGCTGATGTTGTTTTACCAACTTTTCCCATACCAAAATTCATGGCAGTCAATTTTAATACTTCAGAACACTGGAAGTTATGGGTAATCTTATGGAGCACCTGAGTTCCACCAGGTGGGGTTCTTGTTGTTCAAGCTTTAGTTTTTTATGTAGTGTGTTAAGGATTTTTGTTTGTATTTTTGAATGTTGTGTTGTCTTGTTTTTAATCAAATTGACTCCTGTGTATCTTCTCCTTCTTTAAACATGACAGATATCAGCTGAATTGTTCAATTCCCAACTTGTTTTAGATGAAACAAGTTGCTTTAAAAAAAAGAAAGAAAAGCAGTATGTGAACCAGAGACAGCTGACTGGTCACCAAAAAATTGTTGCTGATTTTTTTTCTTTTGATTTGAAATAATTGACTGTGAATAGAATAAGATAGTGATGATGTTAAAACACCTTTATTGAAAATATGTAATTGTGTGTAGATTCTTGCACAGGTCAATTAAAAACATTACTTGGGAGTGAACATCATTTTTTCTTCAAAGTCCTAATCCTATTGCAATTCCCTGTTTCTTCAAACTGGATGTCTAAAGCAAATTGCACAGACCAATCAATTGAAATATAAATTTTAGCACTCAGTTTGCTTTATAATATCTGGGAGCAGTATATCTAACGGGAAATGAATCTGATAGGCTTTTCAGTATAAAATGGATAAAATCTCTAACTTTACAAGACTTCGCTAGATTTATGGATTTTGGAAGCATATGATTGAACTGCTCAATAAATTAACAACATAATTCCAAACATTCAACAAATGCAATGAATTGATAAGTTTTATTGTAAAGTAGATATATTTTGTCATATAAAATGACCAATATAAG